CGTGAAAATTGAGAACGAACGTTTTATGGTAAGTCTACCATGGATTGAAGGTCACCGTCTACTTCCAGACAAACTATGACTTATCTCTCAAAAGATTGAATTCTACATTGAAGAAATTAAAAAAGCTGATGGCTTATATGAAGACTACGGGAAATATATTTCAGGATTGGTTGAAAGAAGGTATCATAGGAAGTACCATTGAGTGAAAAAGATAATTCCTTGTCATTATCTGCCTCACAGACATATTGTTAAAGAAAACAGTACGACACGAATCCGACCAGTATTTGATGCTTCAGCAAGGGAAAAGGGGTCACCCAGTCTCAATGAATGTTTAGACAAGAGCTCAAACCTCATAGAACTGATTCCTTCCATTTTTACTACATTTCGTTTAGACAAAATAGGTGTCGTTGCAGATATTCGAAAAATCTTTCTCCAAATAAGCCTTTATCCAAATGACAGAAATTTCCTAAGATGTCTGTGCGTAAATAGCAACAATGAATTGAAAATTTATCGTTACTGTAGAGTTGTGTTCGGAGTTTCAAGTAGTCCCTTCCTCCTTGGAGCTGTTATTAAGCATCATTTATCATTAAGTGTGATTTTCGGACCAACAATGTTGAGCAACAGAAGACTTCTGTGTTTCCTTTTTTCTAACACATGCCTCATGTTACTTGATGCGAAATTTTAAGGCTCTCTTAGTTTGGCCAATGTAAATTAAACCACACTGGCAAGGAATCCTATAAATACACCAGGAATTCATATCCGGAATGGGGTCCTTGAGTATAGAACTCTGAATTTTATTGATGGGAGAATAAACAACCTGAAAGTTAAATTTCTGCAAAATATGTGCAACTTTATAGCTAACTGATGGAAAGAAGGGAATGACAACAGAATTTTTATAATCTCCTAAAACAAGAGTGTGCCTTTTAGTGTGTTGAGTTGAGAATTTTTTAACTGCTTGATTAATAATGTTGGGTAAAAAGCCCCTGTCAATAGCTATTGCTTTTAAATAATTTAGTACTTCCTCAAGGGCTAGTTTGGAGGAGCAAACTTGAAGAGCACGGAAAACATAGGAATAAAATCAAGCTAACTTTTGTTTAGTCGGATGACATGATTTAAAGTGTGGTGGAAGGCAAACCGATGAAGGTTTATACGGTAAACCGTAGTACTGAAGTTGGATGTGTTATGTGTGACCAGAATGTCGAAAAGAAGAATATCGGAAGAGAAAACTCTCAAGTTCAAAAGTAAACTGAATAGCAAGATCAATAGAATTCATTGTTGAAAGAACTTTATTTAAATCATCTTTTTTACCTTCAAACAGGGTAAAAGTATCTTCTATGTAGCGGAACCATGCCAGGAAGTTTAAAGTTTCAAACAATTTTGATTCATACGAGTAATAATGCATGTAGATATCAGCCAGGATGGGACTGAGGGGGATGTGTCGAACACATCCAACTTCAGTACTACGGTTTACCGTAAACCTTCATCAGTTTGCCTTCCACCACATTTTAAATTATGTCATCCGACTAAACAAAAGTTAGCTTCATTTTATTCCTATGTTTTCCGTGCTCTTCAAGTTTGGTCCTCCAAACTAGCCTTTGATGAAGAACTAAATTATTTAAAAGAAATAGCTATTGACAGGGGCTTTCCACCCAACATTATTAATCAAGCAGTTAAAAAATTCTCATCTCAACACACTAAAAGGCACACTCTCATTTTAGGAGATTATAAAAATTCTGTTGTCATTCTCATCAATTAGCTATAAAATTGCACATATTTTGCAGAAATTTAACTTTCGGGTTGTTTATTCTCCCATCAATAAAATTCCGAGTTCTATACTCAAGGCCCCATTCCGGATATGAATTCCTGGGGTATTTATAGGATTTCTTGCTAGTGTGGTTTAATTTACATTGGCCAAACTAAGAGAGCCTTAAAATTTCGCATCAAGGAACATGAGGCATATGTTAGAAAAAAGGAAACACAGAAGTCTTCTGTTGCTCAACATCGTTGGTCCGAAAATCACACTTTCAATTTTTCTGCTGCCAAAATTATTCAAAAAATATCTTCCATTGTAGAACTGGATTTTCTAGAAGCATTTCACATTCATAAAAATCTTTCTGTTCTAGTTAACAATCCTAATTCCAATCCAAATTTGCCTTCGGCCTTTAAAGAAATTATGTTTTAGTTCTTGTTTCACCAACAGATGGTGCCACTTGCTTATTCTTGTCCAGGCTTTCTTATCTTATTTAATCATTATTTTCTATTTTGTTCATTTGCGGTTTTGCAGCTGAAGATGGTGGTTCGGTAAAACCATCGAAACTAGTCCTGTGAAAATTTTGTAAATCTAACGCTGATTTTTGTTGTTTGACTTCCGAATTAGTATTTATTCGGTGTGTTATTGTCTCTTAGAGATAAGTGGATATTTGCTTTGTGTAGTGCTTAAATACATAAAAGGTTTTTCCTTTATGTTATCTTATTGTTTGATTTAAAATGTAGTTTATTGAGATTATGTATTTTTTGCTTGCCTCTACTGTAGAATTAGGTGCTTCTTTGATTTTTAGGTCAAAATATATCGATGTGTACATGAACAAACTCAAAGGAGTACGTAAAGCATTGTTTGTACAATTCTCTGATGTTTTTTAAGTGAAAAGTAGGTTGATGTGTACATGGATAAAGTTGAGAGAGTGTGCAATGTCATTTTTGTGCAATTCTGGGATTTTTTTTTAAGTGAAATAGGTCGATGGGTACATGGATACCGAGTTTGTGCAATTCTTTGTCTTGTTATTTTAGCTTTGTGTAGCTGCGATTTTTTATGCAAAAACCTCCACTATGCAAGTCAAAGAATTGAACAAACTCTGTATCCGTGGACCGCCAAAAATCACAAAGTTTCGCCAAGGGGTACCCTAAAATATACTGTTACCCAAATTTCCTTTACATAATTTTCACTAAAACTTCCAATCGAGAAATTTTAACAAAAAGAGTGCTCTATCAGTTGACACTCTTAAGTTATGGTCTAAATGGAAGGAACAATATTTGCTGCAACTGAAGAATGCTCATCACTTTAATTTTTCTGAGCACAACATTAAAAAAGGAGAACTTGCTTTTGTAGAGGGATCAAGAAAAAGCAAATTACTTTAGGACATGGGTATCCTTGAAGATGTGTTAACATGCACAGATGGACATGTGAGAGCCTTAAGTCCCTTCACCAGTTTAACACAATTTCTAACTTTCCATTATAATTAATTTATGTAAGCATTTCCGCAGAGAACCCGGTAAATGTAAGCATCACCAACTTTGGCAATAATAGTTCAAACCTGGTAACCCAGTGGATTCGTCCTATTCACTTCTCGAAGTTTGCAACCATTTCTCTTGCGTTCACTTTGTTGAAGATTTAACAACGAATAGATAAAGATATTTATGGGGGGGGGAATGCACCAATTAATTTTTTCCTTTGAAAACTCGTTCATTATTATCAGAAATGACACTGAACTCGGCTATACTATAATAAGCGTTATTAAAAAAATTATACTGCAACCAATAGAAATTGTAGAATATTATAAAAATAGTTTCATAATTAAACAAGAAAATATTAACAAACTCAAGGAGGTTAGAATAGAAGGAGGGAAGGTTCAACTCAAACGGTGAAGCTTGGCGGCCATCTTCCTGTTATCACCGTGACTTGTGCAAGGAAGTCTGTCATTGCAACATTTTTTTCTTTCCTTTTTGAAGCATGTCAGCTTGTATTGCATATGGATGCACAAATAGATTCTCGAAAAAAATTCCGGGCATTATTTTTCACACGTAAGTATTAATTTTCTTTTTTATGTAATATGACAACTATGTCAAAAAATATCACAATGTCATGTGGTTTTCTTTCCAGATGTGAAAAAAAAGGACTTAAAATAGCTTATTTAATATAACTATAATCAAAATATATTAAATACATTTTAATGTTTCTGTTTATAGCTGGTATCTTCGTTCCTTAAGATACAATGCTATATGGTAGGATTTAAATTGTATAATTTGAACGTTTTAGTTAATTCGTTTTATAACTTTCATGAAAAGTAAGAAATCAATTGTTACTATTTTTATTAATTGTAAAGGTGTTAAATAAAGCAATGCTTTTCTTTATATTAATTATTATTCATTTTTTTAAGTTAAGATAAACTGTTCTGTTATTAAAAATTTTTTTGCATAAACTTACAAATTTCTGGGCAGTATAGTGATAAAATTAAGTAAAATATTTACACAATTGAACATGTGGAAAGATGTATCCAAAAACTTATATAGGTGTATTTCTGTAATTCAACTTAATTAAAGGCAGTTTCTTTGAGATTAATAAATATGAAATGCGCATAAACTGAAATCAATGAATTCACATAAATCTGTTTTATTTTATTAAGATTTATTATCTAACCTAAGCAAGTTTGTGAAATATGCAGAAACATCATTTTTTAAAGGCTTTAATGTTATGCGCATGCATTTAGATTTCGAACTATTTCTTAATAATTTGCTGTACATAGTAAATTATGGATATCATCTTTATTACCTTAAAACAAAAATTCAACAATAGCGAGGGATTTCATTATAAATTTAACATATTTTTACTGGAAAATAAATGCACGGAACAGGTTAGAAACACGTACATGTCACTGCCGTAATGCAATGTTTTGAAGTCACAAACATGGACGCCGCTTGTTCGGCGGAGTTTCATTCCCCGATAGTGGAGGAAACCGCGAACCTTCCCTCCTTCTATTCTAACCTCCTTGAACAAACTATTGGGATTAGCACGGTAACCAGAAGTGAGGTTTCATGGCCAAAATTAAAAAAAAAAATTCTCGCAAATCGAAGGGGTACTCAATTCTACACTAGTAAAAATAATAAACTCTGCTTTTATACAGACTGAGCGAGAATTGCTAGGGAAAACAGATATATTCTAGTAAGAAAGTACACACCATTGCATAAAAGGCAAATACATAGAAAAGAATGACTTGTTTACTTACCACGATACCCAATGGAAAACCAACATTTACACGTTTCAGACATTTTGACGTCAAGAAGTTATGCGTTAGAAGTTTCATTTTTAATTTTCAATTCACGATATGAGTTTTGGCTTTTACCACAGGTCTTAACAATAAACAGAAATATGGTTTTGCACCTAACCAGTGTCTTTCTTCTTGTTGATAAAAAAGAAAAAAAAAAACATTGCGTCCCCATTTTTCTCAAAGGAAAGTCCATTCTTTAGAGACTCATATTTAACTTTTATTTAATAGGAAGGGTAAAATTCCTTTTGTTTTCAGGAAGATTTAAAATATACTTGTTTATTTGATGAAAAACTGAAAAATGTACATGTTTTGTTTCAATGCTTCTCAATTTCCCCAAATGGTCGCCGAGTTTGCCCACCAGCATGGCGCTACCTCGCAAATTTGGGGAGACAGCCATTTACCTATTTGTTAAAGTGGACCTAACTAACTTTTTTCTCCGCCTAAGCTCGTTTCTTTTCAGACATATCATGTTATATTATACAAGAAATACTATAATTTTATGTATAATTTCACTAAAATTATTTACATATGGTAAAAGATAAAAAAAAAAAAAAAAATTGCGTCCCCATTTTTCTCAAAGGAAAGTCCGTCTTTAGAGACTCATTTAATTTTATAATAGGAGGGTAAAATTCCTTTTTTTCAGGAAGATTTAAAATATATGTTTATTTGATTGAAAACTGAAAAATGTACATGTTTTGTTTCAAGGCTTCTCTCCCCAAATGGTCGCCGAGTTTGCCCACCAGCATGGCGCTACTCGCAAATTTGGGGGGAGACAGCATTTACCTATTTGTTAAAGTGGACCTAACTAACTTTTTTCTCCGCCTAAGCTCGTTTCTTTCAACATATCATGTTATATTATACAAAGAATACTATAATTTTATGTATAATTTCACTAAAAAATTATTTACTATATAAAAATTTCGTAAATTTTCCCTTCCCAAGAAACTAAACGGCCCACCAGGGCCGAGCGGTAAAGTCGCTGAACACTGGTAGTTCGGTCCGAGGTTCGAATCCCGCGAACGGGCTGGCTGGGTGTGTTTCGTGGTTTTCCCCCATGTGTAACGTGTATACGAGCCAGTTTCCTTAGAAAGTCCTCCACGAAAGGCATCCCTCCTCTTAGGCAGATAGCCCTAGTGTGCTTTGCCATAATTAAATACACCACACACACCACACCAAGAACTAAACATCCAGGCGGCAGATCAATTCTTCGACAGGAAGACATACTTACAATTCAGAAAAGTCCATGCAGTACTAAAATAATAATTTCAATAAATATCATACAAAAAATAAATGCATGGATTTACAAACTTATATGCAAATGGGACTCTAATCTTCGTATACCATGTACGCTGTTCAAAAAAAAAAAAAAAAAAATCGGACAGTCCTATATCTCCCGATCTACTGCGCCAATTGACAAAATTCAAATTGCGTTCTTCATGTCTCGAAAGCGCGACTTAAGATATATATTAGATTTATATATAGCACTATTCTAAACATAGTATTTTGACACAAAATCGGACTTTTCTGAAAATCAATACCAATTTTTTACATATTTCGATTCTACGACTCAAATTACGCCTAATATGAAATTTTGTAAAATTTGGAGCGAAATTTACGGAGAATTCACAAATTTATGTTGGCACTTTTTTGTCAGTTTGCGCCAAGAATACTTTACTTGGCGAACTTCTTAATATATGGCAACCTAGTTTCCTTTCCCCGTGAGGAAAAAAAGTCACCATCGTACCTTTTCCAAATAATATTCTCTAAATTATATTTTCTAAACATTAAGTATTTTTAATATTCTCTTATTTTTTATTATTTATATTTTAAGTAATTTTCTTTTCGAATATCATTTAATTGTTTTAAGTTGAACTTTTTTTTTTTTTTTTTCGAATAACTGTTTTAAAAATTTCTATTTACCTATTCGAACTGCGTAAATAAAGGTGCAGCGTTTATTCACTTTTTTTTTTTTTTTTTTTTTTGTTTTTTTTTTTTTTTTTTTTCATTCATTTTTTTTTTTCAAATAGTTTTCTTATATATATATTTCGTCATAGTTATTATTTTAGGTAATTTTTAAATTTTTATACTTTTATTTTAATTGTTTGTGTTGCATTGTCTTCAGATAATTGTTTTAAAATTTTCTATTTATTCCTTCGAACTGAGCATTTAAAATATATTTATTAATATCAATTTTCCAGAATTTGATTTTATTTATTTGAAACTGCTTTTTTCTTTCGGAAGAATACTTTGTAACCCAGACTACGATGCGTTTGAAAACTGCATACTATATTAAAAGAGAAAATACAGTAAAGCACAGTTTTACACGCCTTTCAATGTTCCGTTCAGAAAAGATATATATAAATAAGAGAGATGTATAACCGACATTTTAACTTAGGATGACTTGCATACACTGCTTTAAACAGTTTTATCATTGTGCCCATTGCTTTACACAATTTTATCCTACATTTGGTTTCTTAAAATGTTATTCATATTTTAGTCAAATATTTTATTTTTGAAATCGCAAGAATCAAATATCATAAGATTGAAAAGTTTTAAATTAAAAAAAAAAATACGAATACTAAATTTTACGAAAAAATTTATTTTTCTTCTCTTTTTCTTTAAGCATTCTGAAAGTATATTAAAAAGTATCCAACTTTTCGAAACATTTTGGTATTTCTGACAATCATTTTAAATAAAGTTATCGCCTTCCATTTCATAAAAGCCCACAAACGGCCGAGTGGTAAAGTCGCTGATCACTGGTAGTTCGGTTCGAGGTTCGAATCCCGCGAACGGGCTGGTTGCATGGGTGTTTTCGTGGTTTTCCCCATATGTAACGTGTATACGAGCCAGTTTCCCTCAGAAAGTCCTCCACGAAGGCATCCCTCCCTTTAGGCAGATAGCCCTCGTGTGCTTTGCCATAATCAAATAATCCAATCCAATCTTTAATTAAATATAATTTATTTGTAACTTCTACTAGAACTGACGTTAGGAATTGAAGGGCAAATAAATAATATCGTGTGCAATCTTGATTAATATAAAATTAAAAATATTTGCATTCAGAGAGAAAGTTTTTTGAAATATTTGCAATTACTTTATAAGAAGGATTTATTAATAACCGTAATAATTACTTATTATATTACTGATGATTAGGATTCAGTTCTTGACAATTACATTCTAAATCAGAATTTTAAGAATTATTAGAATTTTAAATTAGATTAATGAAAATACACTACGCACAAAAATACATTTTAGGATAAAAAATGAGTTGATTTTTTATGTTTTAAAACTTCTTGAATTCATTTAATAAACATCGTATCCTCGTTGTTAATTGAATTCAGAATGTTGGGTGTCGTTTATATAATTATTCTTACTTGTCCACAGAATCTGCTGACTTATCCAGCGATTAAGTAGCTGCAGATCATTTCTACATACCATTGAACTTCCATTAATTCAGTCTCAGTTTATATCATAATTTGACTTTTATAAAAATGATTATTCTAAATCTTATGTTTCTATAAAAATATACTGTGCTTTAAAAATATGGATGATAGTACCAGCCGCTCTTTCAGCCACTTCAAAAGCATCAGTTTGTTTAGAAATAAATTGTGCAGTTAATGTCATAAAATTCAAATAAACATCAAACGAAAATTCTCAGTTTTAGACAATTCGATTTAAACGAAGTAAAGTAGCAGACGATAAAACGCCGAAGGTAAAAATTTACTCTTACAAAAATTTACTCTTATTAAAAAAAAAAAAAAAAAAAAAAAAAAAAAAAAAAAAGATAGAGAGAAATTTTAAAAAAATATTAAAAAATTTATTTAAAAAAATCGCTTTTCATTATAGTATTAATAAATATTTATTACGCATCATTGAGGGAAAAAATGTCATATAATTAATTCTCCGTAAAATTTTACTTGAAATTTAAGGTTAAAAATAGCTGTGGCAATACAGTGTAGCAAAATCCATAGACCACATTTGGCGTTATTATCGCTCAAAAAAAAAGATGCCAAATTTCAAAACGCGAAAATATGTAAATTTGTGTATATCTTAGAAAATTTTGAATAAAAAAGTCTAACTTTTTGCAGATATGCTTAAAATTATACCGACTTTAAGATGATGGTAAAACTTTTATAGGTTATAATTCAAAATTTTTTCGAAAAAATTATAAAAATTATTTAAAAATAGAAATTTAAAAATAAAAAACACAACAAATGGGTAAATTTTATTTGGAATGAACCTAAATTTCGAAATGTGAGAGAAAAAATCAAAAAAGTTTAATAAATAAAGAGATATAAATAAATATTTGCCAAATTCAATTAACATTGAGGAGCTAAAATTTTGAGAGCTAATATTTTAAAAACTAATCGTACGATTTTTACAAAACTTGGTATTCTGGCATAATTTGAGTCGTAGAATCGAAATATGTAAAAAAATTGGTATGTTCTTTCAGAAAAAGTCCGATTTTGTGTCAAAATACCTATGTTAGAGTAGTGTTATATATAAATCTAATATATATCCTAAGTCGCGCTTTCGAGACATGAAGAACGCAATTTGAATTTCGTGAATCGCCCCAGTAGAACGGGAGATATAACACTGTCCCCCCTTCTTTTTTTTTTTTTTTTTTTTTTTTTTTTTGAGCAGTGTACATTATACACTACGTACTACGGCTATAATAAGGGTTACCCTGCTCTTATGAACGATTTTGGGGTTAGAACCTGAAAAGTTACGGATCCGAGCTACAATGTTCTTCAACTTATTTAGAACTGTGTAAGGACCACGTCAGGGAGATTGTTAAGAGAAACTCCTTTACGTTGGATTGAGTTACATAACCACGCTCATGATCACCTTCATTGAATACCCTTACCATGACCACCTTCGTTGAATCGATGTCCTGCAGTCCTCGGGTCGTATTGGGTCTTCGCCTTCTGCGTCCCTAAGCTGACTCTCTCTCAGAATTGTGCATCACTTCAAAACGTGGATGCAGATCTTAGATGTACTCCTCAGGCGACAAAGCCGCATCCGGAGGGTGACCAAACAAGAGATCAGAAGGCAGACGAAAGTCACGACCGAAAAGCATCTGGGATGGGGCATAGCCGGTAGTCTCATGGATAGCACTGCAATAGGCACTAGGAATAATCTGGTCCCACTCCTGTTAGTTTCTGGCATTGCGAGTCTTTTAAATAAAACTAACATATACTCCAATACTTTAAAAAAATCTGAATGTAAGAAAACAACAAACAGACTAGTGAGACCAGTTCTAATTTTTTATTTTTTCAAAACAAAACTTTTAAAATATTTAAATCGTGAACTCGTGAAGTAAAAATATAACTGATATTTTAAATGTATTACTACAAGCCGTCATCAAGCGGTACTTACTTTAACGATTACCGTTTCCAACACTGGAAACCATCAGCGAGAGATTGATAAGGATGGTTTGATTAAATCTCTCAACTATGTCTTCTGACTGGGGATGTAAATATGTCTTTTGGGTTTCGTCGATGTCGAGTAGCTTGCAGAGTGCATGCAGCGTAGGTAAAATATCTTCCTTGATCTGAATGCAACTGAAGAGGCACTCCGAAACTATAACTCCAATGCTTTATCATTACTTCTGCTACCATGACAGCCTCTTGATCAGGGATAAGACACGTATGGTAGTACAATTTTTTAGACAGATCGTTAATAATACTAACAATAGAATAAATATTATTTGGTTTTTGGTTGCTATGGGTTACCAGACTGGCAGGGTTGAGTTATAATAGGCAAGTTGCCACAGAACTCCTCCTCCAATGCTAATGATACCTTAATACTTTGGGTTGATGCGAACTCCACGACCCGAGCGTATTTTTGTCGTAGCATCTGATAAGTCGGAAGACGTTGTTTCTGTCGAAGGCTTGGAACAGCTTGCCCTGTAGTGCGTTGAGATAGATGTGGATCTTGAGACTGAATTTGCGATGGTGAAGACGCATTCGCTCCGGTGGCTTCTGGTGTACAGATTAATGCCGGCTTAAGACGGTCGATACTTTTTTAAATTTTAACAGCCACGTCAACGATGCATAATGCATATGGAGGAAGAATTTTCTGCCGTATAAGTAATGATGGTTCTACAGCTTTGACTATGGCAAGTAACTCTTTTCTGGTAACATAGTGGTTCTCTCCGGTTTATAAAGACACTTGATTCAGTATGCTAGACATGTTCTTGGGACAAAATAGCACCAAAACTATCGTTGCGAGCATGCGAATCAAGAATAAATGGCTTGTCGAGCTGAGGATACTTCAAGATTGTCGCAGATGTTAAAGCCTCTTTCAGTTTATTAAATGCATCCTCACATTCTTTTGCCCACAAGAAGAAATATGGTAGAAAAGTCTTTTACAAATCTCCCATAGTAGGTGCAAAGCTCCAGGAAACTACTCAGCTTGTGGACATTTTCGGCGCGTCACCAATCTTTAGCTGCCAAAACTATTTCTGGATCCATACACACACCTTCGACAGAGATAACTTGTCGGAAGTGAGTCACTTCCTATCTGAACAACTTAAATTTGGCAGAACTTTATATTAGCTTCCTTTAATTTTTGAAGCACCTTCTCACGGGCATAGCCAGCTCAAATTACGGGGGGAAGATGCCCGTTACGACTCTTATGGCTATATTGCTCTACCTATTACAGCATCTTCAAGTATATAGGTAATTATTACGTGACGAGTATAGTATGTTAATGGCAGTTATCTTAATATAAATAACAATTACACTATAAATTTTATTAATAATAAAATTATGTAACATAATTATTGATATATTGCATTTAATTATCATATTTATAATTATTACCTTACAAACATATTTAATGCACGTAATTCAATTTTTTTGTTTTCACCTTAAACGCTTTAACCTTTATTAAAGCTATTTTAAAAAGCATAATAAAGGAAATAAAAAAATAATAAAAATAAAATAATGCTAGTAAAACTATTGGGTGAGTCCATAAATTCGTGCGCATTTTTTTTTTGTAAGTTTTTAAATAATATAAAAAAAAACATAATTTAACATTTTAATTATTACATACTTTCTTCCATTATCTACAATGTCCTGCCATCTTGCTGGCAGCGTTTTTATGCCATTGCTGTAGAAAGACTCTGGTTTTGATGCAAAAAAACTTGAAAGTTCATAGTGTACATCCTGTTTAGAACTTGATTTTTTCCCAGTAAAAAATTTTGTAAGGCACGAAATAAGTGCAAATCACTTGGGGTAATATACGGGGAGTAAGCAGGATGTTGCAAAAGCTTCCAATTAATTCACTAATTTTTTGCAGCGTTGTTCGAGCCATATGCGGACTAGCGTTATCATGATGAAGCAACACTTTCTTGATATTCACCAATCGTGGGCGTTTTTTGATCAATTCTGAGTTTAGACGACAAAGTTGTTCACTATAAACTTTTGAATTAATCGTTTGATTTGGTTCTAACAGTTCAAAACGTCCTGAACAGGATTCATCATCAAAATTTTTTAAACCGTTTCTAGGCAGTCGTTACACTAATAGTGTGTTCACTATGTACACTATCGCTGCAAAACGGGCAGATTACGAAAGTTGGTGATGAACTGAATAATATGTTAGTCCAACGATGACTTTAAACAGGTTCAAAATTGTATTGTTTTAGTAAATGCGTCATAGTGAATTCCACGCATACTCTTAATGCGCACGAATTTATGGACTGACCCGATACTTCTAGTTTTTTTGCTTTCATTTCTGACGTACATACTCACATACACACAAAGAAATATTAAACGAATTTTGAAATTCAGCTTACTTTGGTTTCATAAAACACATATAAAGATAAATAAATATATAAAATGCATATTTCTGTGCTATATAATTATACAGTAAAGATATTGAATTAAATACATAACAGTTTAATGTTAAACCTCTTTATGTTAAATACATAAAAGAGGTTTTTAAACTTGGCCTTAGAACTATTAACATTGTTCTAAAATTACAGAGCTGTTTTAGCGAACAACATACCAAAACGATCCAGCGTTATATTTGAATTTGCCTCCCTCAAAAGTTGGCGCCCGGGGCAAGCACCCCGGCTTGCCCCCCGCTAGATCCGGGACTGGATTTGCCGCTTAGAGGGTTAACTTGTGTTTAAATATGCAAATATTTTGTGCTTTGTTAAAAGCCATACTTAAACATATTTATTGAACATTTATGTTATTAAAAGCAGCCCAACCGATATAATGGTTAGCGTTGCAGACTGCCATGCCGAAGGGCTCGGGTTCGAATCCGGGAGAAGACATGGATGTTTGTAAATGTATAATGTCCATACGGCATATGGGCACTCTAAATATGCGAGGTGAAAGTCCTCTCGAAAGGTTCATTTCTTTATTAAAGTAAAAATTATCATCTTTCGAGAAGAAAGGATTGACATACTTACGGGGTACCACTGAATTTAAAATATACCAATTTGAGATTTGAAGTGAAATAAAAATATAAAAGATATTCTGCCCATAAAAATTGCCCATTTTCCGATTTTGAGCTGTACGGGAAAACGAAGGAAAATGCTTAGTTATTTCATTACGTCTTTAATACCTACTTTAAATTTGATTTATTTACTTTAATAAACAAACGAGTACCACCACCTCCTTGATTTATTTGGTATTGATCTAATAGTTCATATATTTTTCAAACAATGGTTTAAGATATACTCACTTTTTCAGAAGTAAGGTAAAATATTTCAAACAGTGACATTTTGAGTGTTTTCAAGAACCGTTTTACGCAATAGTTCTTATAATAGTTATAATAAGAACAATATAACTTATAATAGTTCTACTTTTATGTTTCCTTCTATACTTTTTCTGTTTTCATTTTTCCTCAGATGTCGGAAGAAAAACAGAAAAAAACTATCTGAGTATTAGAATGTAATGAAGAACAAGAAGATGAGAGGAAGACTTAATAAACCAGAACTTTAAAACTGCTCAGTTTTTCCCAAATCCAAAGAATACCCAACCTGACGCATCAGAAAGACAAAGTGTTTTCACCTGGGAATTACCTTTACAACGCCAGCCTGTCGAAAAAAACAGAGGGCATGGTATTGAAATCTACAATTGCTGCAGTAAATACGCATTTGCCTGTGCCTGATGATTCCGGATTATGCCAAGTCCCTTATTGCTATCCCAAGTTCAAGCCTTAATAAAAAAAATTATTCTGGATATTACCAAAACTTGGTTTCGAGTTTCAGTTTCCCAAAAGAAAAAAATAGATGTAATTTTTTTAGATGTACTACTGTCGAATCTGGCCAAACAACGAAAGAGCTATCCGATTTCACAGAACGATTACGAAAGAGTAAACCTGTTAATTCGGAATTTCAAATTTCATTAAAAAAGGGAGTAAGCATTGGCGCGATGTTATTGAAAGAATTATCTATGCCACTCAGTTTTTAGCGAAATAAAACTTAGCCTTCCGTGGTTCCAGTAACAAATTATTCGAAAGATATAATGATTTTCTAAAGTGTATAGAAATGATCACAAAATTTGACTCTATCAATGTCTGTATATATTAATAAAATTCAAAGAAAAAAATATGCTTCATTACATTGGAAATAAAATTCAAAATAGAACAATAAGCTTATTAGGGGATAATATAAAGCCAGATTATTTTAAATATAAATAAATATAATATAAAGCAAATTATTTTAAATAAATTCAAACAGGCAAAGAATTTTTCTATTTTACTTGATTGTATCCCTAATGCTAGACATCAAGAGCCTAATGCTAGCAATCAATTTGTATGAGGCATGAGTATTGAAGAAAGACATGAGTATTTAGAAAATACAGACATGAGTATTGAAGAAAGGTTTTTAGTACTTTGTATTATAACAGATACGACCGGTAGACGACGAACTACATTCTTATTAAAAACCTTAGAGGAAAATGGTTTAGATATTAGTAATTTATGCGGCTAAGAATACGACAATGGTTCAAACATGAGAGGTAAACAGTTTTCGAATAATTATGCTCAAATCGTTGCTTTTCCGAATTAAAAAGTTAAACTAAGTTTAACATAATATAACATGTAACTGCACTTACCTTTTTTTTATGTAGAAAAACAATAACAGCAAGTAATCACAAAAAAGATAAATGTTGCACAAATTACGACTTTTGCAACAGTAGACACAAAATGAGGATTAAGCAATTTTCCGAATGCGTCTACCCTTATTACAAACGCATCGGCATCAAATATTTCCACGTTCAAATAAGACAGAAGAGAAGACCAAAGATAAACTCGTCAGCGCCGGGCTTAGCATTTTTCCTAGGCGGGGCAAAAACTTAAAACTGCCGCCCTCACTTATCTTCCTTTAAGTTTCTCTAACAAATTTCAATTTTTTTAATAAACATAGAAATAGGTAGGGTTTGAGATAAAATGTAAAATCCATTTTATAGAAAGAAATTCTTTATGTGCCATTTTTTGTTATAAAAGAAATAACAAATTGTTTAGTTTCTTTACTTACCGCAAAGCATAAGAGGGCTATCTGCCTAAGAAGAGAGATGCCTTCGCTGAGGGCTTTCGAAGAGTAATTGGCTTGTTTAAGCAAGATTGTAAATTATTTAATTGTTATTAGACAAAATATCTATTGAGAAAATGGCAACAGCTAATTTCTGGATGTCGTTCTATTTATAATTTTAATAATATACTTTGAGATGATGTACGCTTAAAAAATGTTTAATGGTACGATGCAGTAAGTACGTTTGTTATGTTATGTACGTTTACGAATACGTTACGTGCACGTTATTAAGATTTATCTTTAAATAAATGTTTGTCTTTTACAACCATTTTACGAGTGATTTATTTAACTAAAAAAGAAAGTTAACATAAAATCAGAAGGGGGATTATTCTGAAACCTAAGCCTAAAGCTACAAGAATTTACTATACGTAAATAAATTGAAAAGAATTGGAATTTCAAGGTATGCGCATTGATTGATGTAACATATTTATTATAGAATTTAATTTTGTTATTTTTTTTTATCATTTTGGAAAGAGAGTTTATTTTTTTTTTTTTTTTTTTTTTCATTTCTGTAAATTTTGAAATATATTTAGAACATCAAACAAACTTATGAAATACCAATAACTGTGTTCCACTAAGTTGTCTAATCGGAAGTTAATAATAATAGCACATATATATATTTGCATTTTAATAAGTACGGTTTGGTTTGGTTTGATTTATTAAATTACGGCAAAGCACTCGAGGGCTATCTGCCTTAAGGGAGGGATGCCTTCGTGGAGGACTTTTTAAGGGAAACTGGCTCGTATACACGTTACACATGGGGAAAACCACGAAAACACCCATGCAGCCAGCCCGTTCGCGGATTTCGAACCTCGGACCGAACTACCAGTGTTCAGCGACGTTACCGCTCGGCCGCTGGTGGGCCTTTTAATAAGTACGAAAATGTCTATTTTCGGTAAGGCAAAGAAATGCGATTTAAGAATATTAGCTGAAGAATTGGGAGAAGATGTAAATGAGAGTCATAAAATGAGCGATTTGAAAAAGATAATTTTGGCTAGCAAAGAGTACGATGAAGAATGCGCCAAAGAATGGTTGAACATTATAATAAATGCAAGAAAAGAAAAGAAAAAGAAGAAATTGAAGAACGTAGGCGTAAAACGAAATTGAAGAAGATGAAGAACATATTGAAGAACGTAGGCGAAAAGAAGAAATTGAAGAACGAAAACGTCAGAAGAAAATTGAAGAACGAAAATGTCAAGAAGAAATTGAAGAACGTAGGCGAAAGAGAAGAATATTGAAGGAACGAAAACGAAAGTATGAAATGGAATTTGAACTGCAAAAACTAACGTATTGAAGCAGAGACTATCGAAGCGGAGAATAGATCTACAAATTCTGGCACCAATAAAAGTGGTACGCACATGAATGAGCTAGTGGTACGCATATGAATCCAAAGTTAGAGCTTCATCGTTTCATGCAAAAATTTAAACCTGACGATAATGATATCAGTTTATATTTAATCATGTTTGAACGTTTGAATCCTAAACAAGTTGAAATACCGTTTGATGCAAATACATGGGTTTTCATTTGTTTGGCTTATTACCATATGATATTGCTCAGTTAATTCGCCAAGAGAAACCGATGAGATTGCAAACGATTATAAAGAATTTAAAAGGTTCTTATTAAAACGGTACAAGATAACACCTGAAAAATTTCGCCAAAATGTTTTACGCACAAGTGAGAGTGTAGGAAACACATGGAAGAATTTTGCGTTATGCAGTTGGAAGAAATTTTTTTAATGAATGGATAAGCGGAATTAAAGTAGATACTTTTGAAAAACTTAGCGATCTTATTGTAGCGGATCACAGATAAAAGCGTAAAGTGTCTCCAGAAGTAAAAGATCATTTTATTGACATCTGGTCTGAGTTGATTTCACCAATTGATTTAGTTGAAAAACTAGATGATATGTTATACCTTGAAGTCAACTTTCAACAATAAACAACCGCGTAAAGAAGGGTCTTACGACAAAAGAAACTCCTTTAAAAATGGTCCAGTTGCTACAATCAACGAAAAGAAAAACCTCTACGGTATCACACATAATGAAAAAGGTGAACCAAAATGCTTCAGCTGTAATAATTTTGGACACATCTCAAGGGACTCTCCGCTGCCCGAACCAGTAGTACCATGCCGAAAATGTAATAAAACAGGTCATAAAGCTAAAAATTGTGTTACTAAGGCTGAAAATAATCATTCAAATGATAAAAATTATTCTGTTGAGCAAGTTGGCGAAAATTCAGAAGAGAGCAATTCATATTTGAAGAAAGCAAAACTGAATAATTCTGAAGAAGTACAGGCTTTAATTGATACGGGGAGTTCTTGTTGTCTCTTAAGGACTTCAGTTGCCTAGAAATTTAAAGTTAAACCAGAACCTGCTATGAATGAATTGTACGGTTTTGGAAATCAAAGGGTGCCTGCAATGACCTCCTATAGGAATGAATTAAAGCCGATATTGAAGTTGATAAGGAAAAAGGCCAAGGCATAAATATATACCTTGTTACCTGATAATGCACAGCCAGGTGATCTAATCATCGGACGGACATGGCTTAGATCTCCCCCACATTCGCTTGTGTCAGAATAGGAAACAAGATTTTACTTCAGGTATAGAGGAAGATGAACTATTTAGTAACCTACAAATTGATGAAAAAGTAAATCGAGTCTGCCTTAAAGCTATTGAGGCAAATGAATTAGAGAAAAATACGATCAGTCTTGTCCAGTTCTCAAACAGATTCTGTGGATAATGGATTAATTATGATAAGAAAATCCTTCCGAAGGTATCACGCTGTTTATTAGAAATTAAAAATGGCAAAACTTATATAACCAGTGGTTAACAGTTGGTGATAGAAGTCTTAAGCTCCAAAAAGATCAATGTGTTGGGAGAGCAGAAGAGGTTGAACTATGTTTAAATATTGAAATTTCTCGAATTGAGCTCGAACTTAGCAAACAACGGAAAATATTAACAACATAAAAGTTCCTATAAGTTTAAGCCAAGTTAAAATTGGCTCGGATATCGACGTTGATCACCAACAAGAGTTATTGTGTCTTCTGAATTAATATAGAGATTGCTTTGCACTAAATATTTCAGAACTAGGGTGCACAGATCTCCTAAAAATGGACATTAAAGAAATCGAAGGTTCAAAGCCAGTATGTATGAAGCCTTATAGAACAAATGCCTCTGAAAGAGCTGCGATCAAAGAAATAGTTCAAGAATGGAAAGAAAATGGAATTGTAACAGAAACGCGATCCCCATATGCTAGTCCTGTCATACTAGTAAAGAAAAAAAAAACCGGTGAATACAGATTAGTTGTTGATTACAGACGTCTCAATAGTCAAACTATAAAGGATAAATTTCCCCTGCCTAAAATAGATGATTTATTAGAACAATTGCATGAGTGTAGTCTGTTTACAACGCTAGATTTAGCACACGGATATTTACAGATTCCATTAACTGAAAGTACAAAATTGAAAACTGCTTTCGTAACACCGGATGAAAGTGAACAATTTGAAAGAATGATTTTTGGCATGACTAACGCTCCTGCGGAATTTCAACGATTGATGTATCATGCATTATCCTCATTATGTAATAAAGAAGTATTGTGCTACCATGATGATATACTTGTTCCAGCAAGGACTTGGGAAGAAATGATTCAGAAATTAATTAAAGCATTCGAAGCACTACGTGCAGCTGAGCTAACCCTGAAGTTACCGAAATGTGAATTTGCCAAACAAGAAATAGAATATTTAGGCTTTATCATCAATAAAAACGAAATAAAGCCGGGATCAAGAAAAGTTGAAGTAATATCAAAATTCCCAGAACCTAAAAACCTTCATGAAGTTCGACGATTTCTTGGTTTAACAAGTTTTTTAGAAGTGTTATCAGCCGATAGATGGCATTGTAGAAAAGCTGCCGATAGGGGGCGCACGATATCAATCGAGAATCGGGAAGCGAGAGAATAGGATTAATGTTATGAATGTTCCGTAATGATATGTATATAATTGTTGTAATAAAGAAGCATTTATAAA